TTTAAGGGACTTTTAATATTATTTATATGCTGTTTAATTTTTCATAAGAACACATGACACATAATCAGAAAAATAAAATGGTTATTCCTGCTAAGATAATTCAGTAGGGGAAAGAATATTCTTTTCAACAAATGGTATTGCAACAACTAGATATCCACATGAAAAAGAATGACTTTGTGGGGCTCCTGGGTGGCTCAGTTGGTTAAGCAACTGCCTTCGGCTCAGATCATGATCCCAGGGTCCTGGGATCCAGTCCCACATCGGTCTCCTCCTCCTCTGTGGGGAGCATTCTTCTCTCTCTCCCTCTGCTGCTCCCCCTGCTTGTGTTCTCTCTCTCTCTCTCTCTCTCTGTCAAATAAATAAATAAAATAAAAAGAATGAATTTATACTCTTACCTTATACCATATACAAAAATTAACTCAAAATGAATCCCAGACCTAAATGTAAGAATTAATACTATAAAAGTCTTAGAAGGGGGATGCCTAGGTGGCTCAGTCCATTAAGCGGCTGCCTTTAGCTTGGGTCATAATCCCAGGGTCCTGGGATCAAGTCCTGCATTGGGCTCTTTGCTCAGTGGCGAGCCTGCTTCTCTCTCTGCCTGCCTATCCCCCTGCTTGTGCTCCTTCTCTCTCTGTCTCTCTCTCTCTCTGACAAATAAATAAATAAAATCTTATTTTAAAAAGCCTTAGAAGAAAACATAGCCTAAGTCTTCATGATCTTGGGTTAGGCAAAGACTTCTTAGATATAAAACCAAAAGAAAAATATAAAAACTGGACTTCATCAAAATTAAAAACTGTTGTGTTGCAAACAATGCCATCAAGACAGTGAAAGACAACCCACAGAATGGGAGAAAATATTTATAAATCATATCTGTGATAAGGCACTTAGATCCAGAATATATATATATATATATATATATATATATATATATATATAAACTACTACAACTCAATAATAAAAAGACAACCTAAACTAAGGTGAAATCTGTAACTGGCCCCAGATACAGAGGACAAGGAAAGGCTGAAGAAAGAGGCAGACCACTCCAGATTGGTAGGCGATAGTTTAATAAGCAAGGGCACTTACATACAAGGCTTGTCTTGGGCAATTGCAAGATGGATAGATATCTGCACACACCCACCAGAATCTTAAACATTTATATAGAGGCTTTAACTGAGTTAAATTGAATATATATTGGCCAGATGGTCTTAACACCATATTGCTCTCCTCAAGTCTGCACCCTTTAAAATGGCTATCATTGTGGGAAACAGTGGGCAGAACACACATTTCAGGGACATGGGAAGGGATGAGGAGCTTCCAATTGCCTGGGTCCAAATTGTGGGTTAATCAGTGGTCACATCCTCTTGATGACCTCGTCTAACAGTTAGACATTTCTCCAAAGAAGATATAAAAATAGTCAATAAGCATGTGAAAAAAATGGTCAACATCATTAGCCATAAGGGAAATGCAAATCAAAACCACAATGAGATAACAATTCACATCCACTTGGATGGCTATATTAAAAAAAAAAAAAAACAGATAATAACAAATGTTAGTGAGGATGTAGGCAAATTGGAACCCTCATACATTGCTGGTGGATAAATGATGCAGCCACTTTGGAAAGCAGTTTGGCAGTCTTCAAAATGTTAAACGTAGTTGCCATGTGATATAGCAATTCCACTTTCATATACCAAAGAGAAACCGATTTCATATACCAAAGAGAAACAGAAACATACATTCACAAAAAACTTGTGCACTAAATGTTCATAGCACCATTATTCATAATAGCCAAAAAGTAGAAACAACTTGTGTCCATCAATTGATGAATAAATAAAATGTAGTATCTTCCAAATGATGGAATGCTACTTGGCAATAAAAAGAAAAGAAGTACTGATACATGATAGAACATGGATCGACTCTGAATATGTTATGCTAAGTGAAAGAAGCTTGTCATCAAAGAGCATGTTATATGATTCTGTACATATAAAATGTCCATAATGGGCAAATCTATGGAGACAGGAAGTAGATGAGTAGTTGCCTAGGGCTGGGGGTTGGGGGGAGGGGGCATGGGCAATGACTACTAGTGGGTTTCTTTTTGGGGTGGTAAACATGTTCTAAATCAGACTGTGGTGGTAGTTGCAGAACTCTGTTGTATACTAAAAACCATTTTAATGGTTTTATGGGTGAATTATATATAATGGGTGAATTATATGGTATGTGATTATAGCTTAATAAAGCTGTTAAAAAGAAAAAATTAATTCCATTAAATTGATGCAATATGATTTGAGGTGGGTGCCTGGGTAGCTCACTCGGTTATGCACCTGCTTTTGGCTCAGGTCCTGATCCCAGGGTCCTGGGATCCAGCATTGAGCATGGTTGGGCTCCCTGATCAGCCTGGAGTCTGCTTCTTCCTCTTGGTCTGCCCCTCCCCCTGCTTGTGCTCCCTCTTGGACTCTCTCTCTCTCTCTCATGAACAAATAAAATCTTTTATAGATAAATAAAATTATTTAAGGTGCCATTCTATTCGTTCATTATCAAATAGTTTATTTTTAGTTTTTCACATTGCTTAGTGTAACCAAACACACCATGTGAAAGAACCGTTTTTTACTAAAACTACTACAAAACATTATAATAGATAGGTGATATCCCTAAGGTCATCTACATGTTTCCAACATCACAAATCTGTCAATACTTTACAGGTGTAAAGAACTAGTATCTTCCACACAATTCTTTCCCATACAATAAGGTCAGTGGCCTGTCCTTAAGCCTCAATTCAAATTACTCTAGCAGCAAGAGACATGAAAATATACTGCCTTAAACAAAACAAAAGTTTATTTCTCTGTCACTTAAAGTCAGCCCAGGGCTGAGATGGCAGATATCTCTCCAATGACCTCTGGATCCCAGGCTCCTGTCACAGGTCCCAGGCACAGTCTACTGCTCTGTCAACCATAGGGTATAGTTCTTGCTGTTACAGTTCATCCAAGCAACAAGATGAAAGAAACAGAAAGAGCAGGGGTGGAAGGAAAGGGGACCAAGTGTATGTGCCAAAGGTCTTTAAGAAAAGTTCCCAGATGCCCTTTCTGCTGTGCATTGATTGACCAAAACATTGTGATAGAGCCATACTTAACTTCAAGTGAGACTGAGAATATGGTCTTTATCCCAGGTACCATGTGTCCAGGTAGAAATTAGGGGTTTTATCATCATGAAAGAAAGGGAAACACACATTCAGAAAACTCATAGACTCTCCCAGTAACTCGTAATTTATCTGTCACAAAACCCCACCAAAATCTAGAGAAAAATAATCTGGTCACAAAGGATGAAAGAAGTAAGATGAACTAAGAACTATACACTAAATTAAGCAGTATGAGGAATAACTATGCTTAATAGTGAAAAGCATCAGAGGAGACATGTTTGCAAAAGGCTAGAGAAATAACCAAAAGTTCTAAAATGGGGAGAGCATTTTTATAAGATGGGAGCCAGAGGCAATATCAGTCAGATATACTAGGCAAATAAAAAGTCGCTTAAATGAACAATAAGTAAAATCTCACTTCATTTCAGGTCCCATTAAGACCATCAATTTTTATCAAAACACTTTATTTTTGCCTCTTTTATTTGTTCATATGTTTCCAATTCCAAAGGGCTTACATTATCAACTGATTTTTATTTTTATTTTTTTTGCTTCTGGTACTATTTCAAGGATATGCATTGTATCTAGTCTTCCCTATACTCCTAAAGATGTAATTAATTTCCCTTAGAAATCACTGTGGTTGTAGTTTTTTTATTTACTATATTAACACTATCAGAAAAAATATTGAACATTCCCAGAAATCACAACTTAATGTAAATTTACTTAGTCCTTTTAATCATTAATTTGAGATCCACAGACAGGCTTGGTTTCTATGTAAGAAACAATGTGACTGAGATAAAGTGTTCAGGAGAGATAACATTTAATATGTTTCAGGAAAAGGTTATTAACATTTAGTTTAGTGGGGTTTTTTTGTTTTGTTTTGTTTTAGTTTACAAGTTCAGAAGAGTTAATTATAAATACAAATATAAATAAGGAAAAGTTACCATAAGGGGAAAATAGAATTTTCAAATGATGCTGAGATTACCATAATATGCTGTATAATGAAATTTGAATCATGGGAGAAAGGAAAGGTCAGAGCCCACATATGCCCAAATGATCCAAACACTTTTAAAAAGTGCATTTTCTTTAGATAATTCTGCAGCTGGTATGCACTTCCTAGGAGAAAGTACAGTTTTAAAAAGATGATAGCCTCACAAAAAATATATCATATATATAAAGTAATAAATCCACCAGATTCTATATAGCACGACCATATGTATAAAAATAAGAAGTTGCTGTCTTGAAATCATTATTTAAAAAATAAGCCAAGCATTTTGGCTGGTTTCTGGTCCCTTTTGCAGATCTGCTGTCAGTTACATCTGAAACAGGCTACAGCACGTATCGCGTGAGACAGTGGGAGGAACTGACTAGGAAAATCAAGACAGTCATGTTCTAGTCTTTATTTGGCCCCTAGTTAGTCACTCTAGGCAGGACACACTCTCAAGGCCTTCACTTCCTCATTATTCTCTAAGGTTCTTTCCAGCACCGTGATTCTAAGGTGACTTGAGGGTCTATTTCAGATGATATAGTATTGTATACATTAAATCACTTCTGGTACATGTTATCAGGAACTGTCCACACATGAAGTTCTGCATCATTAAAACTTTTTTCTCCATATTTCTCAAGATAGATACAGTAACTTAGAACTCAACAATAACATTTTAATTTTTTAAAATCAAAATAAGATGACCAGAATCATTAAACTTAGTATTCACAGCACTAAACCTAGAAAAACATATAATTAATAGAATGTTAAAGCCAAAAGACCATCTGACAGACTGAGACTTCTTATTAAGTGTTTTAAAGACAATTACTCCATAACAACTGCATACTCAGGATTTGTGGACATAACATTACAAGCTGGGGGGAAAAATCCAGCTCAAATGTCAAATCATGGAGCCAGAATGACTCTGAAATTCCGGAAGACACATTTTGAGAAAGAAACAGAATTCTCCCTCATTTCCCCATTCCCCTCTCCCAAAGGGGAGAATATAAAATTATGCACATCTTTGGTGAAATTTCAGAAAAAATAAATGCCTAGATATAAAGAAAATTTAACTTAACATTTTCTCTTCAATTTGTTTTTTATAGCAGACATGTTAATTTCATTTTGAACATGGTATGCCAAATATCCTGAGCTTCCAGGAATGAAGTCATGTAGCTCCCCAAGGAATTTCTTCATGGCATCAATTGATATATAACCTACAAAATAAAAAATACATATATTTGAAATCCTATCATGCTATCATACTGTTTTGAAGTATCTTTGATTTATTATAGTTAAGATTTCTAAAGAAAGTTTTTAGAAAAAAGTGAAAAGAAGAAATAATGCCAGTGAGAAGATTCTCTATGAAACTTGATAATTACCAGGGAACACCTCCTTCCCAACTCCCCACTCCCTGCAGCCATCTACCTCTTATTTTCTTTTATCTTTTTAAAAGATTTTATTTATTTATTTGAGGCAGAGAGAAAGACAGTAAGAGAGAGCACAAGAAGGGGGTGGGTCAGAGGGAGAAGCAGGCTCCTTGCTGAGCAGGGAGCCTGAAGCAGGACTCGATCTTGGGATTCCAGGATCAGGACCTGACCGAAGGCAGTCGCTCAACCAACTGAGCCACCCAGGCACCCTATTTATTTATTTTTAAAATTTTTATTTTTTTATTTAGAGAGAGTGTGTGAGCAGGGGAGGAGCAGAGGGAGAGGGAGACGGTCTCCAGCAGACTCCATGCTGAGCACAGAGCCTAAATTAGGGCTGGATCCCAGGACCTGAGATCATGACCTGAGCTAAAACTGAATTAATCAACTGAACCACCCAGGAGCCCCTTCTACCTCTTTTTAAAACACAAATATTTGATTATCCACTTTGACTACTGAGAGTGTAATGTCCAGGTTGAGGATAAAACATAAAGTACCTAGACCAAAATAACTGGAAAGTGTCTGGCTTAGAGTACAATAACTTAGAACTATCTATCCAATAGCTACTAACAACACAAACAGCTCATCTTCACTAGTAGAGCAGGACACACTTTCCTGCACTGCTAACACAGGGTTAGCATTCTATAATAAGAAATTAAGGAAAGGGGGGCCTGGGTGGCTAAGTTGGTTAAGTTGCCTTCAGCTCAGGTCATGATCCCAGGGTTTTGGGATTGAATCCCGAATCGGGCTCCCTGCTCTCTAAGGTGTGTGTTGGGGGGAGGTCTGCTTCTCTCTCTCCCTCTGGCCCTAACCCCTACCCCCATGCTCTCTTTCAGATAAATAAATAAAATCTTTTAAAAATAATAGATTAAGGGGCGCCTGGGTGGCTCAGTGGGTTAAGCCGCTGCCTTCGGCTCAGGTCATGATCTCAGGGTCCTGGGATCGAGCCCCGCATTGGGCTCTCTGCTCAGCAGGGAGCCTGCTTCCCCCTCTCTCTCTGCCTGCCTCTCTGCCTGCTTGTGATCTCTCTGTCAAATAAATAAATAAAATCTTTAAAAAAAAATAATAGATTAAGAATAATCAGTATTATTGCTTAGTCAACAAAGGTTATGAGTGTGATTAATTTTGATAACAGTAATCTGAAATTGATAAGAGTAGTAAAAAACCCATCTTAGAATGTGGAGAGCTTAAAAGCTTAAGGGCTCAATGACTTTAGGGCAACCCATTTAGGACCCCTCTCACTCGAAAGGGCTTTTTTCCCCTTTTTTTCTGTTCTTGCCTTCACTTAATAAACTTTTACTCACTTCAAAAAAAAAAAAAAGGGGACTCAATGGCTTGAAGCAATATTATCTTCACAGCAACTGCTTATCTGAGTGATTATATTTTATGAGTAATATATTTATAATTAATATTAAAACTGAGACCTAATTTAGAAGTCAATACTGTATGAGAAAAATTCTGGTAGAGCTCAAAGATGATTGATTTTAGAATAAAACCACCAACATGCGGTACACATGCATATAGTAGATTGCTTTTAATAATATATAATAAATTGACAGTTAATAAATTAACTATGAATTCACTAATATAAAACTGATTAGTGTCTTTAAAGATATTTTAATCATAATCATTTACTTTAGAAAATCTCTCGAACACTATTTCTATACTCCATATGGTTCACGATCTTTGCCTAATGACTAATTTTCTGTGTAAAATAAACTAGTAAAGGAAAATATTAACATTTAGTTAATTGCACTGTGTGAAGTTTCTAAAGGTATGTGTGAGGATAGGAATTTTTAAAATAATTTTTATAGTAATAAAAATATTCCTATAAGAAGGATAGGACATTTTTGCATCAGAAATGGATTATTTTTAGCAGTTTTGAAGTAATTAGGACTTCAGGCTGAAGTTCACTGACACTCAAACTAAACTAGCTTAATAGAAAGATTGCTGTGTCAAACAAACTGTGAGGAAGGCAGACATATTGCAGGGCCTCAGAAGTAACAGAGCTCACGGCTGTCTCTCATTGGTATCCAATTTTTCTCTGCGTGTTAATTTCAGTTCTTCTCTCTTGAGGCAAGTTGGCTTTTTTTACATGGTAGGAAACATGGACCCACAAGACTTCCAAGTTTTAGATCTAAAGAGCTATGGTCACCTGAATGAGAATGCTTTGACTGGCTGCATTCTATGTATAAAAATCTAGAGAAAGCTATGACTGGCCCAACTCAAATCAGTTATTCATTCCCAAGGCAAATGCTGGGGGTGAGGAGCAAGCTCATGTTTTAGGAAATGACTATTTCTGTGTATCAGATAAATTGAGGGGAAGAAAAGAAAGTTCCTAAGAAAGGTATTCTTGGTGGAGAATTCCATACATGTCTATGGTAACCAGCCTCCCAGATGGCCCTAAATGATCCCTATTTCCTGGTATTCACAAATTTGTGTAGTCACTAGAAGGAGAGTCTGTACTTAGGTTGGTCTGTATGACCAACAGCACATGGCAGAAGTGATTGTATGCCACTTCCAAGAGTAGGATAGAAAAAGAGACCAGTGGCTTCTGTCTTGGGTATGCTCTTTTCCCTTCTTGTATTTCTCACTCTGAGAAATGTTGTGAACAGCCTTATGGAGAGGCCCACTTGATGAGGAGTTTGGCCTTTGGCCCAAAATCAGCAAGGACCCAAAGCTTGCCAATAACCACATGAGTGAGCTTTGAAATGGATTTTCCAGTACCACTTGTCCCTGAGTAACTTCAGCCTAGCTGACAACTTGACTGCAACCTTAGGAGAGATTTTGAGACAGAGTATCTAATTAAGATGCTGTTGGATTCCTGGCCCTCAGAAACTATCAAGTAATAAATGTTCATTGTTTTAAGCTGCTAACTTTTAGAGCAATATGCTACACAGTGATAGGTAACTAATACAGTATCTATTATAAGTTCCCAAATTTTTAATTACCAGAACTTTTTGGTTTGAAAATTTTTGCCTGCAAGATATTTACAGTTACAAGTTATTTACAGTTATTTACTAATTTTTTTTAAAGATTTTATTTATTTGACAGACAGAGATCACAAGTAGGCAGTGAGGCAGGCAGAGAGAGAGAGAGAGAGGAGGAAGCAGGCTCCCTGCCGAGCAGAGAGCCGGATGTGGGACTCGATCCCAGGACCCTGAGATCATGACCTGAGCCGAAGGCAGAGGCTTTAACCCACTGAGCCACCCAGGCACCCTATTTACTAATTTTTTAAAAATTAGTCACACATGTAGCGGTCAATCAGAATTTCTTATCATGGGTGATAAGTAATGATATCAGACTAAAATAATTTAATTCCAGTCAAAAGCAAAAACTAACAAAAACGGACCAAAAAAAAAATCCCTTGATATTTTATGGGACATTTATGGGACATTTGGGACTATCTGAAGATATTTTTGGTTGTCACAACTTGGGACCACCAGTTCTAGGGTATAGTTCCAACTTGTATTTTCTACAACCTAAAATCTAATTAGTTCTATTTTAAGAAACTTAACATTCATTGAATTGAACCCAATCCATTTTGAGGAAGACACAGTCAAGTTATAGTCACAGAAGTTACTACCACTGCCTAAATTAGAACTGTCACTCACTATATTCCAACAAGAAGTTATTCCTTCCTATAAAGCAGATGGGCATGATTTAAAAAAAAAAAAAAAAAGGAAGTAGTTGTCATTTCACATCAAAACTAAAGCCAAAGAATCATCTCTAAAGCTTGAAACTTTCTTTCAAGAAAGTACAGTTTAAATTTTTAAAAAATTTTTTATAAAAATTTTAAAGTAGGGGCACCAGGTTGGCTCAGTCAGAAGAGCCATGCCTCTTGATCTCAGGGTCATGAGCTGGAGCCCAGTGTTGGGTGTGGAAGTTACTTAAAATAAATAGATAAACTTAAAAAAATAAAATCTTAATATAGAAATATAAGGAAAGAAAATAAAAAGATCAGAAAATTTTACTTTGGCTCTATCAAAATTAACAAAAGATTATCGCAGGTTGAAATTTTACTTTAAAAAATCTGACTAATGATTATTTTTATAGTTCTTTTTTAGTTTGTTTTTAATACAACACTTTCATGTCTTTTGAATAGTCAGCAATGAAAGAGAACAGTATTATTACATGTCCAAATCTAAGGATTTGTCTTTATTATACGGCTGATTTTAACACTTAACATTGATTTTTAAAATATGCTATCAAACACTTGGTAAATCCAAATGAACATGAGACATTTAGAATCTGGTGATAAAGTTGCCTGAAACAAAATCAATATCAGTAATAGGCCACAACCGTGGTTTAAGGGGTACCTACATTTTATCTGAATGTTTAGGCCTAGGGATAAATTAGGGTAGCAATCACTGCTCCCGATATTAGAACTTAAGTATTTCTACTTAGTTCATTGTCCTTTGCAGGCCACGATTGCTCCTAAGAACCCCAGAACTGACTTCTCTGCTGTCAAAGCTAGGTAACAGACACAGCCTCAGAAGACACATTAAAAGTTCTTTTTAAAGTGCTTTTCTAGGGCACCTGGGTGGCTCAGTGGGTTAAGCCTCTGCCTTGGGCTCAGGTCATGATCTCAGGGTCCTGGGACTGAGCCCCACATTAGGCTCATTCTCTCTGCCTGCCTACTTGTGATCTCTCTCTCTCTGTCAAATAAATAAATAAAATATTTAAAAAACAATAATGATAAAGTGCTTTTCTAAAGGCTATGAACAGAAGAAAAAAAATAATGAAACAAATGGCTCAACCAAATGTAAGAAGGAATAGTACTATGAGAGAAGATATAAGAATTTGTGGACTAGTTGCAAGAGTTAGTTTTGACACTGATAAAGAGAATGTGATAAATATACAAATGATTTTTAATAATGAAATTTCAAAAACCTATACTTCTAAGTTGCTGTGTTTGAAACACGATATTTTAAAAAACAATCCGTGACCCTACTGAATACTACCCAGATCAAAGTATATAAATACCGACCTCACTTACCACTGTCCAAATCCCAATGGCCAGTGTCATCTGGTTCCCATGGTTCCACCCCCTCATGTCAGCCTTAGTAAGCAGTCTTTCTACATGTCAGGTACTAGAAAACCCAAATATAGAGTCCAGGTACACCTGTGAACCTCTTTAAATTTTATGCAAAGTTGGTGTGTTATGTTTGTATGTGTGTATGCTAGGGAAGGGGGTCTATGTTTCGTCAGATTCTCAGAGAAAACTATGATTAGAGATGTCCATATAATTTATCTTCCAAATTGGGACACCCGAGAGAAAAAACTGATCCCAGGACAACAGACATAAACTGGGACTGTCTTGTGTACACAAGGATGTGTATTCACGCTACCAAAAGACAAATGTTTTAACAGAAAACATGGGACCTATCTCTAGGTCAGTTCTGCAGATTTATTTAATGCATTGTTGTACATTGGGTATTTAATGATTTATTATACAAAATAGTCTTTTGTTTCTTCCCTACTTGGGTTTTCTCTAAATTTTATTTTATTTTAAATTACCTGTTACCATGTTGTTCACAGGATAATTCTGAAGAGGGAAGTACATCTGCTTTTCTGTAACTGGAGTCCTTATAAAATGCTTTTCTGTGCTATAAAATCAAACATACAGATAGTCTTATTTATATTTACTTTTCCCTGAGAAATTATTCCAGACAATATATATACAGTAATCTATTTGTTTTTGAGCAGACTTCAATCTTATTGGGTGAAAATGTTAAGTGTAGACTTCTTTTGTGCTTCTAAGTAATACAAGTTCCCATATAGATATTTTCGGCTTTCTTGGCCACTTCACAAAACATATTTTTTGTGTATATAGAGGCATAAGTCTTTTCAGTATTCTTAAAAGCAAAATAATTCAATAATATTTTATAATTAGATAATATATATGTATGTATATATATATATATACATACATATATATAAAATCTTAAATATGCCAAAGAAAGTATTGTGGGGTTTATTTGAAATAATTATAGCATTTTTTGTTATTCAGTGTTTAAAGAATTAGAACTCTATTAACTAGTACTTCGATGCTTTAAATAAAAAATGAACTTTGGGGAAATCATGAGGTACACTAAGATTCTGAAGTGACTTCTGAGTTAAAAAGAAAAAAAGTTAAACTATTCTGAGTGTGGTTGTGTAGTATAATTAATTATATTCTCACTTTTAAGAGCTAAGTAGTTTTCAACTAAAATATTCTGTTTTCTAACTGTGCCAAGTAATAATATTTACTGTATTTAGACTACATATAACCAATAGATAATACAATTATATGAAAATAAAAACCTCAATAATAAAGTTGGGGTCATCCTTAATTTATTATTTTCCTTAAAAAATCTAAAATTATACTTAGTGAAAGTAAAGCTTTATTTTCAATTTGTTTAAAAATTAGATTTCATCTGAACTCTTTTTTTTTAAAGATTTTTTTTGAGAGCAGGTGAGAGAGAGAGAGAGAGAGCGCGCATGAGCTGGGGGAGGGGCAGAGCGAGAAGCAGAATTCCCAAAGAGCTGGGAGCCTGATGTGGGACTTGATCCCAGGACTTGGGATCATGACCTGATCCAAAGGCAGATGCTTAACTGACTGAGCCACCCAGGTACCCTGAACTCTTACAAAAGAAATGACAGCTCAGTTAGGATAAGATCCTTCAAACAAAGCAAAATAATGTTCCCAGAAGAGTCAGGGACTATAAAAGGATAACCATTATTGTTATTTAGTATGGCTTTAGAATTTCTGGCTAAGCAATGAGATGGGGGAGGGTAGAGAAGGAAATGGAAAAGACATCTAGTAAAAAGGAAGAAGCAATCTTTCATATTAACAAATGATATGATTGTACACCCTGAAAAGCCAAGAGAATCACTGAAATATTTCTAGAATCTTAAAGATTCCAAGTGGGTAGTTATAAGACAAATATCCCCAAATCAATAACTTTCCTATATAATAGCAATAATTAATAAAAATAAAATGGAAAAAATGAACCAATCCACAACAGCAACAAAATTCATAAAAATCTAGAAATAACCATAACAAGATATTTGTCATTCTATATGCAGAAAAATGGGAAAATTTATTGGAATATAGAAAAGGAAAATAAAGAAAAACAAAAAACATTCTCCTGCAGAGGAATATAAAAAATTATAAAGTTATCAGTTCTTCTTAAAATTTAACATAATTCTCAGGGCGCCTGGGTGGCTCAGTGGGTTAAAGCCTCTGCCTTCAGCTCAGGTCATGATCTGGGAGTTCTGGGATTGAGCCCTGCATAGGGCTCTCTGCTCAGCAGGGAGCCTGCTTCCTCCTCTCTCTCTGCCTGCCTCTCTGCCTAGTTGTGATCTCCCTCTGTCAAATAAATAAAATCTTTAAAAAAAAATTTTAACATAATTCTCAACAGGGATTTTAGAGCTTAAGAAAAAAATAATTCTAAAATTTACCTGAACAACAACATGTTAGAATATCTAATAAGAGGCAGACCAAATTTATAATAGAATGGAAAAAAAAACTAGCAATAATCTTAAAAGACATATAAAATTTATATGAAGAAAATATGAAAATGTTCCTCAAGGGCCACAAAAGAAAATTCGAACAAGTGGGGAAAAAATACCATTTTCTCAGATAAGAAGATTCAGTATCAGAGATAGTCTCCCTAAGTTAATCTATATATTTTTTGTAATGTTATTAGAAGTAACAATAGTAACTTTTGAAAAATATATGAACAAGGTGGCTCTAAAATTCAGACAGAAAAACAAACCAGCAAGAAGTTAATAACTAAGAAAATTTGAAAAAGAGTAAAGAGGAAAACTAGCACTAGATATTAAATCGTATTATAAAGAACTAAAACAGAGTCATATGTATGGCAAATGAATGGAATATAAAAATATAAAATGCAGAAACAGACCCAAATCCTTATAGGGATCTAACCCTATGATAAAGGTGGCATTTTAAGGCAGGTTAGGGGAGGGGAAGATAAATTATTTAATCAATAGCCACAAGTAGTTAGGTATCTGGAGGAAAGGAAAAAAAAGTGGATCCCCACCTCACTTATTACACAAAGACATATTCCAAATGTGTTACAAATTTAAATTGAAAAATAAGTAATTAAGGAGAAACCAAAGCAAAAAATAATAATAATAATCTTAAGAGAAGGAAGACTTCCCTAAGTACAACACAAAACCTGAAAGCCATTTTAAAAAAAAGTTAATAAGCATTAATGTATATAGTAAAATATATTTGCATGACAAACCCAGCATTTTTTTTAAGATTTTTTATTTATTTATTTGACAGAGAGATCACAAGTAGGCAGAGAGGAAGGCAGAGAAAGAAGGGGAAACAGGCTGCCCGCCAAGCAGAGAGCCCAATGTGGGGCTCGATCCCAGGACCCTGAGATCATGACCTGAGCCTAAAACAGAAGCTTAACCTACTGAACCACCCAGGCGCCCCAAACCTAGCATTTTTTAAAGTCAAAAGACAATAGGCTAAGGATTAATTCTAACTTATTTCACAATGAAGCAATTCTCCTAAAATGTGAAGTGTTCTTATCAAAAAATAAAAGCAAAACTCAATCAATAGAAAAATGTGCAAAGGATATGAACAAACAGTTCACAGAAACGAAGATATAAGCGGTTCTCAAACAACTAAAGACACACAACCTTGTTCATAATAATAACAATTCAAACAAAACGAGACTAAGATACCATTTTATACCTATTAGATTAACAAAGACCAAAATACATGATAGTACTCTGTGTTGGGGTAGGTATCGTAAAATAAGATGACTAACCATCCCAGTTTACCCTAGATTAAGGGATTTCTCAGGACATGGGACTTTTCAGTGTTAAAATCAGGACAGTTCTAAGCAAACCTGGATGTTTGGTTCCCCTAGCTGGAAAAGGCACTTTTACACACAACCAGTAGGAGCATAAATTGATTTAACCTGTATGGAAGGCAATTTGGTAAGACTTATCAAGGATACAAATCTACATGCCTTTTGACCTCCTAAGAATTACCCTACAGACACCTAAAAAGTTACATTACATAATCAGTCACTGAAGCATTGTTTTAAACAGCAAATTAGAAATTACCTAAAAGTCCATTAAAAAAAAGCAACTAGAGGGGAGCCTGGGCACCTGGGCGGCTCAGTGGGTTAAGCCTCTGTCTTTGTTCAGGTCATAATCCTGAGATAGAGCCTTGCATGGGCTCTCTGCTCAGCAGGGAGCCTGCTTCCCTCCCCCCTCAAACCTCTGCCTGCCTCTCTGCCTACTTGTGATCTCTCTCTGTCAAATAAATAAATAAAATCTTTTAAAAAATAATCAACTAGTTAAGTAAATTATGATAAATCCACATAGGAACACTATACAGTATAAAAATGAAAAAGCTCTTTATGTAATAATATGGAGTGATCTCCAAGGTAAATTAATGAGTGAAAAAAGGCAAGGGACTGAACAGGGCTTATAGTCTGTCACCATTTGTTAAGAAAAAAGAGAAATGAAAATACTTACATGAATTTGCTAGTATATGTACATATAAGAAATGATAATATTGGTTGTTTCTGGGAGAGAAACTGGCTCACTAGGGACCAGTATTTTCATAATACCCTCTTTTGTATGTGTTGGATTTTGATAAATTAAAATTTGAAAATGAAAAATAATATGTAGGCATGAAGAACTAAAGAAAAGATTTTTAAAAGGAGAGTAATGGGGGCACCTGGGTGGCTCAGTTAAAGCCTCTGCCTTCGACTCAGGTCACGATCTCAGGGTCCTGGGATGGGGCATCTCAGGGTCCTGGGATCAAGCCCTGCATCAGGCTTTCTGCTCAGCAGGGAGCCTGCTTCCCCCTCTCTCTCTGCCTGCCTCTCTGCGTACTTGTGATCTTTGTCTGTCAAATAAATAAATAAAATCTTAAAAAATAAATAAAAAATAAATAAAAGGAGAATAATGAGTTTGAGACTTGCCTTGTCAGGTATTAAAATACATAAATGAAGTTTTATAATTTAAAATGAAATGTGACAAATTCGCAAAAGGATAATATAGCTATTATATGAAGATGCCAGACAAATTGATAAGACAAATAATAAGACCCCCAGTAAAAAGGGGAGAAAGGATAAAAACCACAGGAAAGAAATATAAAATGCTAATAAATTCAGAAAGTTTCAAAGCCATTAGAAATTAAAGAAAAATGCACATTAAAACAAGATGTATTTGTATAAAACTAGTAAGAAATGTACTAATGTTGATGGCGGTTATCTCTAAGTGGTGGAGTTGCTTATAATTTAAAATTGCTTTTTTTCAATTTTGAAAAATTACATGCATTATGTTTATAACAATAATTAAATTCATGCAATTTTCAGAAGATTTGGGGAACATACTGGAAAGCAGGAAAAGCATTGTAATTAAGAGTTTGGATTCTGGATCAGCTAGACTTAGCTTCAAATTCAGCTTCACTATGTAAGTAATATTGGGTGACATTTAGCACTCTGAACCTGTTTCCTCAATTGTGAAATGGGACTGATAGCATTTATCTCTTACAAAGTTATGAGAATCAAATGAACTGATAAGCTCACAAGTGCCACACATTTAGCAAGTGTTTAATAACTGGTTCATTACCTACTGTTCAATACCATTAGTAGTATGCCAACAAATCAAATGTTTCCTGAGTAAGGGCGAAGTATATTTTATCTATGTTCACACTGCATCCTCTGGTGGTTCTATAAAGTAAAGGTTCTAGGTTAGACACCTACTAAGGTATCTATTCATCCTTCTTCCATTGTTATTGTCATTGGATTGGACATACTTTCCCCAAATTAGTAAGTCCCCTTTGTATCCTAAACTACTTTTTGTTAGGTGTTTTTCCATGTGCATATTTTTCTTTTGACTTAGTTTATGGTGTTTTTATTGCCATGTACAAGTTTAAAATATTTTTGATAGTCACACTTACCAATCTTTTCCTTGATGGCATCCGTGTTTTGCAGGGCAACTATTTCCTAAAGAAGTTATATATCTTATATCTTTCCTAGTCAAGTGAATCACTGGGAGTTACTTTTTATTTTTTATTTCCCAGCCTTTTCTTACAAGGTCACTTAGGATTATTATTCTTTCCTCTATTAAGAATATCTTCAATAAGATATTCTTCTATTAAGAATATCTCTATTAAGAACATCTCTATTAAGAATATCTTCATGGTCTTACCTCTTCCATTCTTATTTTCCTTCCTCTCTTTACCAGTTTCTTATCTCAAAAAAAAGCATAGCCTTTTTTTACTATGTTCAAAGGAGTAAGTTCAAAGGAGTGCTATACACAGAGATCCCAAGACTTAAAATATGGATTCTCTAACTTAATTGGTAGAATATCTAGAAGTCACAGGACCATGAAACAATAGTTTACTAAACTTAATTAAATACACAACTTTGTGTAAATTAGATAACAACTAACTTCAAATTATAACAACCAAATAGTAGGTACAAGAGATATAAGTAAAAAATGAAGAAAAACTTAAAATTGAAGACACTATATAATGTAACCACATTAATTTTTTTTTCTTGGATGATTGGAGGTTTATTTATCACCGGTGGGCTCAGAGGAGACTGTTCTCCAAAGGTCTGAGCTAACCCTTTAATTTTTATATTGAAAAGAGACACTACTATTTGATCATTTTTATTTCTGCAGCTAAATGCCAGACCTTCGAATAGCCAGTAATCTCTATCAGTATTTGGAAACCAGGGAACCAGAAAATATGGAATTAGGACTGGATAATAAATAAGCCTGAAACAAAGGGGGCCTCTCAGAGATTGGCTCCAACATAATGGTAAATCCATGATTGTCTGTCTTTTTAAAATTAATTTCTTAAACCAAAGTAACCACATTATAAACAATTTAGAAAGGAAAGGGGAAAATCACTCAGAACTTCCGATCCTAATAAAATTACTGCTCATATTTTATATATCTCCTTACTCAAAAAATTAAAAAATAATGTAACAGTAATACAATATACATAAATTCTTATTTTTTCTTTTGCAAGGATAGTCCATCATAGTGGTTGGCTCTGGAATTACACTGACCCAGTTCAAATCCAACTTCTCTCCACTTAATAATATAAGTTTGTATGACTTTCAGCAAATTAACCTGTCTAATCCTAGATCTCTTTTGCTGTAAAATGGCAGTGGTGATAATGATAATATCAATTGTGTAAGAAGACTGTGAAAATTAAATGAGAGAAACACTTATAGTTAGTGTTTGAAGATCCCTACATTGAATTGAATATCAAAGAAATGTATGAATTCAATACCTTTTGGATAATTCTTTTTCTTGATCTGTTGCTAGTTCACTGCTTTCCCTAAGGACTTTTATTTCATTTGGTATTACTTCATCATGCTGTGGATAGCAAAAGAAATCACATTTTTTAAAATGAGCACATCAATGACCCAATCAAATAGTTTTTAAAAAAGCAAAAAAGTAAATTGACAATATGTATCAAGAGTCATAAAAATATTTATACACTTAGGCATATTCAATCTAGTGCGTTGGCAAAAACTTACAAAACTTTGCACACACACACAATTATACTATCTGCTTTTAGGGCTATGTAATGAAGACTATGTATTTTTTAAATATCAGGTCTGATTGTATTAGATCGTAAAACTTTGACTAATTTTATTCTCTTTTCAATTTTTTACATTTTCCCTAATGTGGCCATATTACTTTTTAGTTTTTAAAAGATAAGGAAAAAAAATGTTTATTAACTTAAACTGTCTTAAAAATCCTTGACTTGAGGGGCGCCTGGGTGGCTCAGTGGGTTAAGCCTCTGCCTTCGGCTCAGGTCATGATCTCAGGGTCCGGGATTGAGCCCTGCATCAGGCTCTTTGCTCGGAGGGGAGCCCGCTTCCCCCTCTCTCTCTGCCTGCCTCTCTGCCTACTTGTGATCTCTCTCTCTCTGTCAAATAAATAAATAAAATCTTAAAAAAAAAAATCCTTGACTTGAAAATTCCCAGACTCCCTTCCTTGACTTACAAATCAAAAGTATGAAGTAAACTGAACAAATCATATTTCCCCTCCAAAACTAAAATGGAGGGGCACCTGGGTGGCTCAGTCATTAAGTGTCTGCCTTCGGCCCAGGTCATGCATGATCTCAGGGTCCTGGGATGGAGCCCCATGTCCGACTCTGCTCTGTAGGGAATCTGCTTCTCCCTCTCACTCTCACTCTTCCTCTCTGCTCTCTCTCTCTCTCTCTCTCTCTCTATGCTCTTCCTCTCTCTCTAATAAATACATAAAATTTTTAAAAATTTAAAATTTAAATAAAATTTAAAATTTAAAAAAAATTAAAAATTAAAGAAAAATTTAAAATTTTAAAAAACCCACAAAATTAAAATGGTGTCTTAGGCTATGGAGTTAAGAAAGAGTAAAATGTGTATAAAGCTTTTCAAAAAGATTATGTGAAAGTGACTCAGGTACTGGTACTTGTCACATAATATAATTACTTAATATGCCATTAGGAAATTTCTCTGTTTAGATCACAAATCCACTCCAAACAATAATAATGTTCCTCAAATTACTTACCAGATTTACCCTTGTTGTTGCCATTCAATGAAGTCCTTTCTACTTACATATTCTATGGTTACATTATTATAATTGGCTAATCTCAATCATTATTTTGAAAGAACTAACAAAATCGTTTATCATAAAAATCACATAATTTCTAGAGTCAGTCATCACTACAGGCATGTTCCACTAATTTTTTTTCCCTTTTTTTAAATTAACATATAATGTATTATTTGACCCAGGAGTACAGGTCTGTGAATCATCAGGCTTACTCTACTAATTTTTTTCATAGAAAAAATAATGGATTGGGTTGGAGCTGAGAAAATTTGATTCCATTTTGCTAATGCCTAGCATGTGAACTAAAACAGGTTTTTACCTTCTCTTTACCTTGGTTCTCTCAGTTTCAGAACTGAGTGATTAATTAATGGGCTTTAAGGAGCTTTTTAGCTCTAAAGTTCTGCATACTCAATAATTATTGTTAAATAACAACCATTCAGTCACCACTCACATTCCTGAAAACACTATCACAAGCCAAGGATTAGATATTATGGTCCTCGGTACAACACAGCCAAAGATACTAAAACAACTATGATTTTCAGATGATGACAACTTGAGAAAAAAAAAACAAACTAATGAAAGAAATACAAAATGTATAAGTTAATTGCTTGGCTTCAGACATAGAAGATTTTCTCCCTAAGTGTTTATTCTGAAAATTTTCAAACTCTGAAATGTTAGAGAATAATACAGTAAGTACTATATAGCTTTCACCTGATTCTTAACGTGTCAACATTTTTATTACTCTGCATGCCTTCTCTCATTTTTTATTTTTTGCTGGACCATTTGAAAAGATTTGCAGATATTATGACATTTTACTCCTTAATCTTTAGCTTGCATTTTCTTTAAAGAGCATTCTTTTATCTTTATAACACTACCATCACAATTAAGAAAATTAACATTAATTTAATCTCACCTAATAATCCATATTTAAATTTTCCCAATTGTTCTCAACATGTCTTTTTTACTTTCTATTTTTAAAATGTCCAGAATCCTATCAAGGTTTAATATATCATATTTGGTTGTTATGTCTCTTAATCTAGAACAGTATTCCTGCTTTTTTTTGTTTTTTATTTTTTATGATGTTTTAAAGAGTCTAGTGTGATATGTCTCACATCCTGGAACTGTCTGAGTGTTAATTAGGTTAAACATTTTGAACAAGAACACTATATAGATAACACTGTATGCTTTCTACTATATCACATCCAGCTGAACATAATGAGAGGTTATTCCAATTTTTGGTGATGCTAAATTTGACCAGTTGGCTAAGATGGTGTCTGCCAGATCTCCCTACTGTGAAGGTATATTGCTTACCTTTGTAACTAATAGGTAACCTGTGGGGTGATAATTTGAGAACATGGTTTTAACACCCAATAATGACTCTTCCTAAATCAGTTATTTTATTGGGGGTGGTAAAATAGGGTTTTCTATTTAATTGCTATTTTATAAGGAAAATTTCCCTTACTCCACCTTTCCTTTCCTTCCTTCCAACCCTCCTTCTTGCCTTCCTTTCTTTCTTCTTCTCATCTCTTTTCCTTCCTTCCTGCTGTTCTTTCTTTCTGCTTTTGGAGTATCACTGTTGAATCATGGATTCTTTTAAATTTAATGCATTATTCATTACTTATTCATACTAGTCATTCTTTTTGATGCTCAAATTATCTCAAATTTAGCTACTGCATAAAGATTTTGAAGTAAATCAAAAGCATTGACAAATTTGAGGCAGAACAGCAGAAGCTATAAAACAGTCAATTTCCAGTATTGTACACATTTATTGAGGGGTATTATTCAAAACATTTAACAAATGACACAACACAGGAATTAGTAAATCAGAATCTATGCTGGCAGTAAAAAAACTGGTAAATACTGTGAACCTATTATTCCCCTAATTAATGATAAAAGCAAATTTTCAAGTTTTTTACATGAATAATTTTATTCATACAAAAATATCTCAAATATGTCAGTGTACTAGTGTGAAATCAATGTCAGAGTACATAATATTCAATAAAAGCATGCCCTTTAAATTCCATAACTGGGATCACTGGTGTTAACATGTCACAAATAAGCATTTTTCAGATTACATTGCTTTCAAAAATTTTTGAAACTGGAGATTCTAACCAAATAATTTACTCTTACCTTCTCTCTCTGAATATGTTGGTCTTGTTCCCAAATAAAACTACCAAGTTTTCTTCTTATTTCTGTGGTAAGAAAAACAAATCCAATACTATTTTTTTAAAGTAATTTTGTAGAATTTTCTGAAGTTTACCTGAAGTCTGAAATTTCTAGGCCAGCGTTATTCCACTTGCATCAAACTCACCTAAGATACTTGTTTAAAACACAGATTCTTACTGAATTAGAAGACTGAGGAGGAACTCAGGAATTTGCATTTCTGACAACCACCCCAGATGATTCCAAAGCATTATGAAAATAACTATTATAAATTTTTTCTGCTGGAATTTATGCCTTCATTAGATATCTGTGTCTTCAGGCCAACCATCAAAATAAAATAGGCCAACCAGTCAAAATAAAAGGCATAAAATTCCTAAATTTGTAGAGTAGAGGTCCTCAAGAATTCAGTAATTTGGTAAAAGAAGAGTGGAAGAGGAACATGTCTAGTGGGCATAGTAGTATAGGAATTCTAAGAATGCTCAGCATATCAAAGGAATATGTCATCATCCTTAATAATCTCAAAAGCTTCCACAGTAGCCTACTTGAGGACAAAAAGGTAACACTCCTCTAGACCTATGTTGTCCAATATAGGAACCACTGGACTAGCTATATATGAGCACCATATTGAAGTGTGGCTAGTCCAAAGTGAGATGTGCTATGAGTGTAAAATAAACACTAGATTTCAAAGATTTAGCATCAAAAAAAGAATGTAAATATCTCAATAATTTTTATGTTGGTTATATACTGAAATGGCATTTTAGATATATTAGGTTAAATAAACTATATTCTTAAAATTAATTTTACCTAGGGATGCCTGGGTGGCTCAGTTGGTTAAGTGTTTAACTCTTGATTTCGGCTTAGTCAGGTCACGACGATCTCAGGGTCATGAAATCAAGTGGGGAGTCTACTTAAGATTGTTTCCTTCTCCCTTTGCCCCTCCCCTCCCCTGGGCGCTCTCTCTCTAAAAACAAACAAATCTTTAAAACATTAATTTCACCTATTTTTATCCACAGATTTCTTATTTATACTAGAAAATTTAAAATTAATATGTGGTTCATATTTGCATCTCACACTTCTACTAGACTCTACTGGTCTAGGTGGATAATAATGTATACTTTTTATTCTTATAAAGAACATGTTTTCATTTAAAACAGATCTGTTAAAATTTTATTTATTAATCTTATTTTTTTAAAGGTTTATTTATTTATTTTAGAGAGAAAGAGAGAGCACGCATATGTTGTGGGGTGAGGGAGGAACAGAGGGAGAGAGAGAGAGTCTTAAACAGACTCTGCACTGAGTGTGGAGACCCTAATGCAGGGCTTGAACTCACAACCCTGAGATCATGACTTGAGCCGAAATCAAGAGTCAAATGCTTAACCAACTGAGCCACCCAGGCACCCCAATGTATAAAAAATAATACAAATATATGGGTTCATTATTAAAACGAATCTTAAAATTTCATTATAATAATGAAGAGATTGAAAACTAGCAAATATTTATTAAATGTCCACATGTCAGACTACTTAATATATTATCTCATTTTATCCTCAAAACAACTTTTTAAAATTCTCAAAACTAGTAAATATTGGATCCTCACCAAGGAGCACTGGGAGGGCAAGATATGCTTTTTGTCTTATTCACTACTGAATCCCCAGCACCTGGGTTGAAACCTGACACACAAGAGTTCAGTGAATGTGTGAATGAGCAATAAACAAAGCTAGAATATACACCCAAGGCACTCTGATCCCGAGTCTATGATTTTCCACTTATATTAAATGATGCAAAACACAAAAATTTCTTATTGAGAATGAAGATCAACCAAGTTGGGAGACCTAGGTGGATCTGGCTAATAGAGATTGGATAAATGATTTTTGCTAACCTTCTTGCAAGCATGCAGGAGGAAGAATGAAATGACCTAAAGCCACCGAGTTTTTCATTTCAGCATTAGCTACTGCAGAGAGATAGTAGGCGTGAAAAACTGTAGCATTATCTTCTATGTAATCAAGGCTCTGATATATTCTAGGAGAAAGAAATGAAATATTTTAGGTTATAAAAGAAACAAGAATGTATTCAACCTTTCAAAAGAAAAGAATAACTGAGTGGAAGTAGGGATAATTATCTATAGGCAGTTAGGACAGTGGGGAATAAGGGAATGGGGAAAGGGCAGCCAGGGTGGTGATTAGATCTCTGCTTTGTAATGATAACGTGAAGGGGGATTGCCGGTGGGCAGATTGGAGGCAGAGTAACCTCTCTGAAAGCTAGTGTGATAGTCCAGCAAGAGGTAATAACCGTGTGTAGGAAGATAGTAGCAGTGAGCAAGAAGAACTTTTACATGGGTACATCATATATGTGTCCTAACGTTTGGCCACCGACTGATTAATGGGGGTGGGGTGATTATTCTCAAGAAACTACTAGCATTTTAAGTTTGAGAAGACAGGACCTGGTGCAGGTGTGAAGGGGCAATCAGGGGATTTGGTTGAAACATACTGAATGTGATGGCCTTCAAAGCGCCACGTAGAGCTGTGGGAGAGACAGCTAGAAGCCCAAGACTGGAACTCGGGAAGGCTCATGGACCAGGTAGGAGGCCATGTCATTGTGGCAGAAAGGAGAAGAGAAAGGTTGTTTATGTCCCTCCCCCCTTCCCATCTAGGGCTGAAAACTTGTTCCTTTCCAGTCTATTCCTATCATCAATATTTCTTAGTGACCGCGACTTCCATCTTCAGCTCCTGGATCATCAGGACCCGAGAGGCACGGCCAGGTGGCCTTCAGGTACCTCAGTGTGTCTGGGTGGGAGGCATCACAGCTGAACAAGAAGTCGGCGTCCTTTGGGTCATTGATGGAGCCCCCTTCGGCCACTGTGAAGGCAAGAGCACAAGGTAAGCCTATCAAGTACCCTGGGACAAAAGCCCCATGGAGAAAAGAGATGCTCTGCCCACCTCCTCACCCGCACCTTCCACCCAGCTGCATACCCCAGAACTGCCTCAGTTCTCGGCCGACGCTGCCACAGAACCAACCCCGCTGCCCTTGAAACATGGCGATCGGCTCGCACCCGGGGGGTGTGGGGGAGGGGGGCCTAATGGGGATCGCTAATTGGTCTGAGGTTCGAAACGAAGCTCGATGATTGGTTCTCAGAGTAATGGGCGGGAAAAGCCCGAAGCTAAAGGAAGAGGCGTCTGGTCACTACTGGCGAGCAACCGACGCGTGAGATTGTGAAGAAGCGGCTCAGCTTTCACCCCCGAGGTGGCGGAGAAGGGTCAGTCATGCTTGTGAGTGTTAAACCTTCAGTGTTAAAGTTATTGTGCTGATGTTACAGGCATAGCCACAGGTTCTGTGGCATCAGGTATTATTTTGAAGCCAAACTCATTTTATCATTTATAAATGTTTCAATTAGAATCTGTAAAAGATAACGACTTTTAGAAAGACAAAGCCACAATACCATTATCACACTTAAAAATAATAATTCTTTAATACAGTCAAATTGCACCAGTGTTGAAATTTCTGGTTTTTTCAAAATTATGCTTTGCTTTTCGTTTCCACCACCCACCACCTACCCCCCCCCCACATCAGTTTTGATAACCTATATTTTTCTGGTGTTGGGTCCATTTAATCTAAAATTTCAAAAATATTGATATAAAGGTGATAAAACATTTTATTATCCTTTTAAATGTCTGCAGGCTCTGTAACAATGGTTCCTTTTTCATTTCTGTTATTGGTTATTTGTACCATTTTATTTCTTGGTCTCACCACAGGTTTGTCAGTTTTATCAGTCTTTTCAAAGAATAAATTTCCGGCTTTGTTGATATTCTAATGTATTTTCTATATCATTAATTTTTGTCCTTGTAAGTTCCTTGGTTTTAAATTGCTGTTCTATTAATTTCTTGAAAGAGATGAGTGATTTTCATTCTGTTTTCTAATATGTGCATATGAGGCTATAAATTTTCTTGAAATTGTGTTTGCTTAAAAATTTCCAGGGGCGCCTGGGTGGCTCAAGGGGTTAAAGCCTCTGCCTTCGGCTCCGGTCATGATCCCAGAATCTTGGGATCCAGCCCTAAATGGGGCTCTCTGCTCAGCAGGGAGCCTGCTTCCCTTCCTCTCTCTCTGCCTGCTTGTGATCTCTGTCAAATAAATAAAATCTTTAAAAAAAATTTTCCAAACATGAGATTATGTAGTTAACTTGTTATTAATGATTTCTGTTTTAAATGCAGTAAGGTCGACGAATATGGCCTGTATGGTTATAATCTTTTAAAATGTGTTGAAATTTCCCTTATGATTGAAGTATATGGTCAGTGTTCTCTGTGTGTTTGCAAAGAATATTCTGCAGCTGTTGGATATTCTGAGTGTTGGATGCAGGATTCTGCATGTTTATATGGTCAAATTTGTTAATCATATTGTCAGGTTTTACTATCAGTTACTGAAAGAAGCATATTAAAATCTCCTTTGTGGATAAATTGACTTCTTGTTAATTTTTGCTTTATATATATTGAAATTATGTTGTTAGGTGCATGCTAATGTATACTTTCTACTTGGCTGAACTATTAAGCCCTTAAATATGAAAGGCAAAACTTTAAAACACAGGAATAAAACAGGGGAGAATACCTCTCGAGAAGGCCTCTGGGTAGAGAATAACATTTTAACAGACACAAGTATTAACCAGTAGAAAGTATTTGCACTATGAATAACCAACAAAAGATTGGTATCTAGAGCACATAAGTAACCCTATGATTCAGTAAGAGACAGACAACTCAATAGATAATATGGGCAAACACCTGAATAGACATTTCATAGAAGAAGAAATTTAAATGGCCAATAAACTTAAAAAAAGATGCTCAGCCATAGGGGTAATTAGGGAAATGCAAACTAAAACTATGAGATACCATCATGTACCCACTTAACTGGTAATAACCGAATTGCTAAAAACATAGATTAATGGGAACTTTGGGAATGTAAATTGGCATAGTCACTTTGACCAACAATTTAGCATTACTTACTTAAAAATGTGCATACCCTACTGGCCAACATTTATTAGATATATACCTAGAGAAACTCTTGCTCTCCTTTACCAGTACATCTTGTACAATAATGTTTATGGCAAAATTGTTGCTAAAGCAACAGCAACAACCAAAAACAAAACTAGAGGGGCGCCTGGGTGGCTCAGTGGGTTAAAGCCTCTGCCTTCAGCTCAGGTCATGATCCTATGGTCCTGGGATCGAGCCCCGCATTGGGCTCTCTGCTCGGCAGGGGGCCTGCTTCCTCCTCTCTCTCTGCCTACCTGTGATCTCTGTCAAATAAATAAATAAAATCTTTATTAAAAAAAAACTAGAAACAACTACTTATTTATCAACAGTAGTTTGGATATTTAAACTGTTGTAGTTTCACAGAATGGAATACAACATAATTTTGAATTTCAAAAAAGCTAAGGAAGACATAGAACATGATTCCATTCATTTAAACTTCAAATAACAGACATAAGGGGGGGGGTTCCTGGCTGGATCAGTTGGAAGAGTATGTGACTCGAACTCAGGGTGGTGAGTTTGAACCCATGTTGGGTGTAGAGATTACTTAGATAAATATTTTTTTTAATTAAAAAAAAACAGACATAATGAAACTTTTTTTTAAGGATATATATATATGAAAAAAGCAAATCAGTATGGTTGTTGGAAAAATATACCTATGAATTATTTTCAGAAAGAAAAAAAAAACAGGTACAAAATATAGAATAATTATTACTTCAGGGCCTAGAGAGGGACACTGGGAGCCTTAAAAGGTTTTGATACTATTCTATATGCAAAACTAGATGGTCAATTAATGAGTATCTGTTTTTTGTATCATTCTCTAAATTGCATATATATATATACACTCACACACACATAACATATATATATAAATACTCTCTTGTGTATATTTTACAATTTAATTCTTAAAAATAATCAATTAGGTAAACTTTGGAGGGTTTTATGTAAAGTAGTTAAGCATATCTCTGGCCTTGAATAAATCACTTTTACTCATCTGAAAAATAAATTTGTCCAGAGCATCTCTTTCCTAGGAAGTACTTGGTAATCCAGTATTTCTTTTTTTTCTCCTATATCTCCAATATCATTGCACAGTTACACAACTGTGCAATGATATTGCCACTGCTATTCTAAAGGTCAATTTAGTCACAGAAAAGTGCAGTCATTGTCCTTTTAAGGTTCTCATCTTTGAATCCTAACACAGTGACTTTACCTTCTACTTTTTTTTACTAGCAGGCTCGTCTCCTATAGCCTGGGATAAAACAATATATAAGATAGCTCTAATAATAATTCTTAGTGAATACCATTCAGAGTCTATTTCTAGCAGGAAAGTCTCATATTGGTGTTTTATGATTCATACTCATTAGAAGGATTCATACTCATTAGAAGAATTCCTGCCTTTAATTGTAATCTGAGTTCTATATAGAAGGATTGCTCAAATTATTCTGTATAGAATAACCAATTAGGGGCACCTGGGTGGCTCAGTGGGTTAAAGCCTCTGCCTTCGGCTCAGGTGATGATCCCAGGGTCCTGGGATCGAGCCCTGCATTGGGCTCTCTGCTCAGCAGGGAGCCTGCTTCCTCCTCTCTCTCTGCTTACCTCTCTGCCTACTTGTGATCGCTATCTGTCAAATAAATAAATAAAATCTTTTAAAAAAAAGAATAACCAATTATTGGGGAAAACTGCGTGAAAATAAATTTGTGTTTTCTATGATAAGACAAATGCTGGAAAGTTAAGATAGTATGTTAGAGAAAATATTAAGGTAGATACCTGCAGATAGTGGAAAATATGTATACACCTGTGGTCCGTCCTGGTTCCCCTGGTGATTTGGAAAAAAAATTTATTTTTCCCTTTTTCGAAAAATTTATTGTGGTATAATTTACATCCCATAAAATCTGCCTGTTATAAGTATATGGTTTACTAATTTCTAGTATATTTATATAGTTATCCAACCATCAACCACAAAAAACATTCATTTTTAAGAAATATATTTACCTATTCAGATTAGAATTTTTTATTCATTCCTATTCATCTTTCACTATCTCCACCTTAATCACAACTTTTCTTTAGAATTTTATCTTCCTATTCTGGTGAATATTAGCCTCTCCTTTTTCTGAACTCTGTAGTACTTCTCTATCCCCAAAGACAGACTTTAGATATTGATTAAATATCCAAGTATCTGAATTTAAGTCTCTCCAAATGAACCTTTTTTTCTTTTTATGTTTCTTTTATGTCTTTCAAAACATCCAGCAAGGTTCAGGCACAAAACAAGTCCTTATTACATTCTGATTGAAGTGAATTTATTTATTTATTTATTTATTTTAAGATACACAATTTGGGGTGCCTGGGTGGCTCATTCAGTTAAGTGGCTGTCTTCAGCTCAGGTCATGGTCCTGGGGTCTTGGGATCCAACCCCTCATTGGGCTCCCTGCTCAGTTGGAAACCTGTCTCTCCCTTTGCCTCGCCCCCCTACCCCGCTTATACATGTCCTCTCACTCTCCTTCAAACAAATAAATAAAATCTTTTGAAAAAAAGATACACGATTTATTTATGTATTTATTTGTTTATTTAAGTAGGCTCCATGTCCAATGTAGGGCTGGAACTCACAGCCTCGAGATAAGACTTGCATGCTCTACTGACTGAACCAGCCAGATGCCACAAATTTTTTTTATTTATTTAAGTAGTTTTCTTTAAAAGTAGCCATAGTCATGTCATGGCTGTTTGCCCAACTCAGCAGCTATGAATATGTGTGTATTGTAAATGCCAGCAGTACAAATGCCACAGAATATTACCTGTGGTATATGTGTATCCTTCCCATTATGATAGATAAGATAGGGAGCTTTTACCCTGCCAAAGAGTGTTGGTGAGTGCTAATTGCAATTTTAAAGGGCCAGTGCTGTAGGTCCTAGGTACCCCCCCCACGCCCAAACCCTATCAGATATAGAGAATGAAGCCTAGTTAGATCAGACTTTGAAGGAAAAGAAGGGATAGTTTATCAAGGGTACTGCTGAGCTAAATGATGCTAAGATAGTTCATCAAGGGTACTGCTAAGCTAAATGATGCCAAATAATCTAACTGTAGACAGAAGGAACACGCTGGAGGATGGGTGTACTAGAGAGGACAAGATAAAAAACACTGATATTTAAATTATAGGCAGGAATGATGGAAAAGACATAGTCGAAAGCAGACTGAAATACTTAAATATATTTGAGTACAGAAAAACAAGTACCTCCATAGACAAAGCAAGAAAAAGAGAGAGAGTCAGATTTGCTGGACTCTTGAGAGAATTCAAGACAAACTTATAAACTAGCCCAGATGATTTCCTATTTTTTCTATAAATCTCTGCAACAAGTTCTAGAAAAGAAAGCTATTGCAAAATTTATATTTAAAGATAAATGGGGAGGGGGCGCCTAGGTGGCTCAGTTGATTAAGCTTCTGCCTTCAGCTCAGGTCATGAGCCTAGAGCCCTGGGATCGAGCCCCTCATTGGGCTCCCTGCTCAGCAGGGAGTCTGCTCTTCCCTCTCCTTCTGCTCCTGCCCCCCTCTTGTGCTCTCTGTTTCTCTCAAAATGAATAAATAAAATCTCTTAAAAATAAAGAATAAATAGGAAGAAGAGTACACATCTAAAAATTTACCTATTAAGAGTCTTGTGCTAAGAATAATAGAATAATTAATAGCATAATAGAATTTCAGGGCACTTTTGGAAAGGCTTTCCAAGCATCACAAACTGAAGTTGCAGTTTGCTCCAGTAACAATAGCATGATGATCATTCTCATGAAGAGTGGCTCCTGCATCACAGAAGACCCCAGAGAAGTGGAAGAACATCTTGAAAAGCTCCAGTGAAATCCATTTAAGACACTGAGAATGAAATTTAGTTCTGTGAATCCTTTCTTCATTATTCCAGAGTTTACCATAAGCTGGAAAGAGAAATAGTGAGACTGGTAAACTATTTTAATACCTCTTTAATAACACTCTGAATACACAATAGTATGACTAATTACTGTGGATGTAAGATATGCAAGGGTTCTTTATTCTCTCCACCATCATTAAGGCAAGGGCAGAAGTAGGGATAAAGTTTCTCCGTGAAATTGTTAGTGAAGGTGTAAATGTGGGTCATGGTTTTAGCGTTGTAGAAGGACACCTGCCCTCCTTCATAATCCAGGTATATGCCGACCTTGTTGAGGTTGTTAGTCAGTTTCAGACTGCAAGATGGCAAATCCAGAGCCTTTAGATCAGTTTGGTTCCTTAGTCTTAAAAGCCAGAATCCTTGCTCAGGAGTCAGAGGACAGCTGCCCTTCCGAATGATGGATTCTCTGACGACTCCAACTGTCCATTTTGTCTTCTTTGCTACTTCTACTTCCCAGTACCACTTTCCAGATGTGAAGCCTTTTGAGCCCAGCACAGCCACACTTGAGTCAAACCTTTCTGGATCATCGGGCATTACCTGCTTAATGTCACCATGCCACACACTGGTTCGGTTTTTGGAGAGCATCAGATTTGGGTGAGCTGTTTTAGGGTCCAGAGTTAATGAAGATAGGCCTAGTAAGAAAAGAAAGCAGGGCATGGGAGAAAAGGGATGAATGCAAATTCCTATAGTTAAAGACCGTATTTACACAGAAGTCACTACTTTATCTTCCCATGCACGTATGCTCTCAGACAAGTAATTACTTATATACTTGTTTTATACCCATATGGCTATATTCTATACATTTTTAAATTAGTGGTAAAAGTCTGACTTTATTCTGAAGAAATTTATGGTCCAACAAAGAAAACAATACAAATAATATTAATCTGTACTAAAAATTTTTAAGAAAATACAAATGTCGAAGGCGTAAAGATAGGTAAGTTTGTCCTTGGAAAATTTTTTAAAGACAGTAAGTATTTCAGTTATGAGATGTATTCGGGATGCACTGGATAAACAGAGGCCAAAAAGCAATGGGTTAAAAATAGCAGCTTGCCTATTAGAGGCAGGTAATTCTGAGCTACCTGGGAGGGTTTAGAAGACAACGGTGAGAATTTATATTTGGTTTAATAGATAATGGGACTTTTGAGATGTGGAATGGTTTATGCCACTGCTAATCAGAATGTGTGGTTACCAATCTGGGACAAAACAGTACAGAAATTAAAATTAAGCTCTTAGAATCTCTCCTTCCATCCTTCCTTCCTTCCTTCTTTTTTTTGTTAAATATTTATTTACTTATTTTAGAAAGATAAAGAGAATGTGTGGGGAAGGGCAGAAGGAGAGAATCTCTAGCAGACTCAGTGAGGAGCCCAACCTGGGGCTTGATCTCATGACCCTGAGTTCATGACCTGAGCCGAAATCAAGAGTCAAACACTTAAACTGACTGAGCCACCCAGGTGCCCTGCTCTTAGAAACTTTCATAGCAATTTGATAGAGTAATTTTATGTCAATTGGTCTAATAATTAAACAACTGCACTTGCACTTTGTAATATTTTTAAATTCCACTTCTTCAGGTAATTAATTTGTATTGTCTTCCACAAATATATCAGTCCATGACAGGTTGAGATTTTAAAAACTGGTTATTCATCACAGGTTTTTTTGTCTAGCACTGATTTAGACAAGTAAGTGGGCAGCAATGTAAAAAATTCTAAATGAAGAGATGTTGGAAGCATATCAGCAAGGAGATAACATAAATTTTAGGTGTAAGGTAACCAAACCTTGGCACAAAATTTAAAGGAAACAAACTATGTGTTCACACGAGGGACACAGATACCTATATGCATGCACTTGCCGTTAATGAATTTATTTATCTTGGAAGTGAAATCATCCAGTCTAACTTTCTCTTCCCAGAGAAGCCAGAGTCTTTTGTATCATCCCAAGAAACTCTATTCTAATATGAGACTTTGTAGAATCCTGACTTTTTCCATACAGGCTGAATCTTCCCTCCGTCACATATTGCCATTTGTCTTGGGTTGTTCCTCTTCCAGTGTGAGAACTGCGATTTCTTTAGAGTTGTCAGACTCCTTACCAACCTTTTTAGAACTGCAGTCTGCTGTTGTCACCAAACCTCTCACACCTCCAGCTAACTCAGCCTGCCCTGGCTCCAAAGATAGAAGTCAGCTTTGCCTCCCCTCTTTTCTTCTCATACCATATTCAGTCCAACAGTAAATTCTGTCAACTCCACCTTTAAAATATATCCTGAGCCTACTCAGAATATAGACAGACAGATAACTTGCACAAATACTGCTAGCCTGGACTATTACAGTAGCTTTTTAACTGTTCTGTTTCCGCTCTTGCCCATCTGCATCCTTTTCTGCCATATGAATGAGATCATCCAGTTCTACTCAACACACTCTTAATGCTTTCCATCACACCCAAGATAAAATCTGGAGTCCTTACAGAGCAAACAGGACCTACATGATTTACCTACTTCTGTGACCTCATCTCCTAACACATACCTCCCTTATTTACTTTGATCCAATCACCTCTACCTTTTGGCTGTTTCTTGAATATACAATACTCTTTCAGACTTGAGGGTCTTTACACTTTCTTTCCTTGTCCTCAAACACTCTTTCCCCATATGGTTCACTCCTTTACATTATTCCAGCCTTTGTTCATGCAAGTTCAGTGAGATATCAGTGATAGAATATAAATAGATGCTACAGTGTTCACTATAAAATTCTTTTTTTTTTAAGATTTTATTTATTTATTTGACAGACAGAGATCACAAGTAGGCAGAGAAGCAGGCAGAGAGAGAGGGAGGAAGCAGGCTCCCTGCTGAGCAGAAAGCCCGATGTGGGGCTCCATCCTAGGACCCTGGGACCATGACCTGAGCCGAAGGCAGAGGCTTTAACCCACTGAGCCACCCAGGTGCCCCCACTATAAAATTCTTTAAAGTTTTCTGTATGTTTGGAAATGTCTGGAATAAATACATAGGGAGGAATAAATACATAATAAAACATAGGGAGGGAGGAGTTAACTCCTCAAAGTTTTTTTTCTGGCTAATGCCAAAAATAGTAGTTTCATCTGTCCATCACTGTTTGTACTCTTATCCTACTTTATTTTTTCTCATGAATACTTACTTATTGAATATACCTTGATTTGTTTTAACAATGGTTATCACTTTGTGAAATTATTTACTGTTTCAATGTCCATTTCTTCCACTAGAATGTAATCTCTGAGAAGGTAGGGACTTTATCTATTTTGTTTCCTCACATACCTTCAAAATTTGTAACTGTTCATAGTTCATTCAAGCATTCAAGTAACTATTTGTTCAAGCATTCAAGTAACTATTTGTTAAATAAATAAATGAACTTCAGAATTCCATTTGAATCCTTGACACCCAACTAATCCCACCATGCTTCATATTCTTGTTATGCTTGGCCAAAACCCATAATGTAGACCCTTCCAATGATTTATGCTTTAATGTACTCTTATCCCCATTGGTCTGTTCTTTGGTTCCTCTACCTTCACCCATCCTCCTACTCCTCCCACCCATCCCTTTCACTTTGCCCTGTAGAACTCCCTCTCTAAATAACTCTCCTGCATCCTCACTTTACAGATTTCTCTCATCACCTTACCGTAACAGAAACCTGGCTGGTTCTTCTCCCAAAAAAATACAACTTGTTGGGGTGCCTGGGTGGCTCTGTGGGTTAAAGCCTCTGCCTTTGGCTCAGGCCCTGATCCCAGGGTCCTGGGATAGAGCCCCACATTGGGCTTTCTGCTCAGCAGGGAGCCTGCTTCCTCCTCTCTCTCTGCCTGCCTCTCTGCCTACTTGTGATCTGTCTGTCAAGTAAATAAATAAAAATCTTTAAAAAAATACAACTTGAAAAGTTCATGAGACTATTCATTTTCTAATTTCAGAGCTACCACTCTGAAAAAAATCACTCTTCTTTTGAGGCTCTTGTCATTCCATTTCTTAATACCCTCTATCTCTATTTGATGTTATTATGTACAGGCTTCCTCATTATACTCTCTGCATTTGGGGTTAACTTTACTCCTCTACCCCAACTCCAGCCCATCATCCCAAGTGATTTCACTGTCTTTTGGATATAGCCATTTTTCCATTCTTACATTCTCGATTTTACTGCTAGTGATTTTTGACTCCTTTACATTTCAGCTATCCATATTAATGACCACATTCTGGATCTTGTAGTCATTGGGAACTATTCATTCTCTAAAATCTTAAACTCAGATATCCCATCCTCTTATATTTTATTTTCTCACTTTCATCTCCCCTACAACCATTACCTGATTTTCTTAACAACTCTAGTCTTTCATTTCTCGTTATTATCCTAATCTGGCGGCTTCCTGGCTTAAAATCCTTCCCTAAACTACTGAACATTGACAGTTATATTGCCAATAACCTTATCACTTTTATCCTTGTATCTGCAGCATCTGCCATGCAACTCTCCAACGCTGGATCTATCTAGCTATCAAAATTAACATGCTAATTCCTGACCATTGTAGGAGGAAAATCACAAAATTGCACATGTAGATATTACTGCAGATTCGTTATTTCCATTCTGTGTTTGACCATCAGCACTGCCTGGAACTCCTATATTTCCCAATCAAATACTTTCCAGTTCCTCACAACAGCAATTTCAGACCTGCAGCAACCTCCTCAAACCGCTATACCATCACTTCCTTCCTTATTGCCAGGCAGATGACTTCATCTCCTGCTTCACAAAGAAAATATAGTACATCTTATAGGACTCTCTCACTTCTAACCACTCATTCTGCAAGTTCCATCTGATAAAATTATTTACCTCCACCATTTTATCTTCTCTACATTTTCAGAGGAAACTGAGGAAACTCAATACTTCTGTCTGCTGGATCTCACTCTTCCCTACTTCCACCAGTTATCCCATCTTTTTTAAATTTAATTTAATTTAATTTAACTTAATTTAATTTAATTTTTTCAGTGTTCCAAGAAGTTATCCCCTGTCCTATACCATTGGTCTCTGCCTTTCTATAGGCTGTTTTCCTTCACTATGTTTTAAAAAGTTCTTTTTTGGGGTGCCTGCCTGGCTCAGCTGGAAGAGCACGTGACTCTTGATGTGGAGGTCATGGGTTCGAGCCCCACGCTGGGTGTAGAGATTACTAAAAATGTTTTAAAAAGTCTTCTTTTGACTCTGTTGCCACATTCACATCTTCCCTTTTAATGAAGCTTCTCAAGCAAGTGACCTATTTACTTCACTACTGCTTCATTTCAAATCACTCCTGAACCCTTCATAATATAACTTAAACACAATCCACTCATTTAAAATTGCTGCACTGAAAGATAACCACACACACTAGTATACTCACAGTCCTAGCAGCCAAAGTATATAAATAATTTATACAACTTACACAACTGCACGAGAAAAGATATTTGCAAATGAGATATCCTCTAAGGGGTTAATTTCCAAAATACATAAAGAACTTAGACAACAACAACAAAAACAAATAATCAAATTTTTTAAAAACGGGCAGAGGACCTGAATAGACATTTTTCCAAAGAAGACATACATATGGCCAACAGACACATGAAGAGATGCTCAACATCATTAAGCCTCAGAGAAATGAAAATTAAGGC